ATTGCTGCAGGCGGAACTAGGTGGGTCTCTTTCGTTAGCGCCGGAGATTTTTTTTGTTTTTTTTTGCGTGTTGAAAACTATGCTGTAGGCAGCAGATGACAGCAAATGTAGAGAATAAGAGTTCAATGTTATGTTTGAAAATCGAGTTATCATAATATGAATCCTGGTGGCTATCATTAGTTTAAGAACAGCAACAACAACAGCGATAGCAATACCAGGAGCAAGAGCAGTAACAGTAACAGTACATATAAAATAACAACCCAGAAAGCAATAAACAATGGTCATGATAGTCGTATCACCAACAGTAGTAGTAATAACAGCAATCATGATCAGACTAATAAGACTTGAAATCATATGAATAAGAATAAGAAGACGACGACTACGACGACTACTACTAATAATTAATTTTAAGGATAATAAATAGTAATAATCCTAATCATCATCACCATCATCATAATAATAGCAGCAACAATACGTAATAAAAAAAGGCGAACAAGAAGAATCCTGATATTCATGTGGATAGCAGGAACAAGAACAAGAACAGTAATACTATTGTCAAGAATAGGTCATGGCAATTATGAATATGACGACGGCTAGTTGGATGCGTGATGGATGGCTGAAGTGGACCTGCCCAACGTTGTCTTGATGCACGTAGGCTGGCGGCCATTTGTGGTTTGTGTTGTGGTTGCAGGTTATCCTGAAACTTGAGGCTTGAAACCTGGAGTTGAAGTAGAGTTCGATACGAAGGCAGGAACAGACCCAGACTGACCAGGTCACCGGCTTCAAGAGCGATGTGGAGATTCAGTACCACTACGAAGCGACGCCCTTTGAAACCGAGAGAACACTCCTGCGCATCGCGCAAGCGCGCATGAAGAAGTGTCTGGAGACGGCGACTCGCAGGAAATTCCAAGAGCTGGTTTTGGACTTTTGTGTAAGACGCCCTACTCATACAGTGTACACCAAATGTGGGCCGAACATATGTAGACTTCCTGGTGCTGCCATACAGTTCAGGAGAAAAGGTCACGGAAGCTGCAGCGCATAAACCGCGAGGGTGTGCCAACCATCGGCATCGTGGGATACACGAACGCAGGCCTTTAGGATTGTCACATTGGACGCTACGATGAACACACGGACTCGTGCTCAGCTTGGGTTCAGGGAACTGAAAGCCCTTGATGTTCAAGCCGTTATGCTAAGACAGTCGTGGTAATTATTGCAGCCGCAGCCTTGGGTGGCGGCGTTTGACTGCAGCACTCTACCGGCCGGAGTAGCGGTAGAAAGGTCATCCTCCTCCTGGTCCCTTCGTCACAATCTTCAACGCAGCAGCACCAGCAGCCAAAGCGTAGGTTCACTCCCAAGACAGTGCAGTCTGAGACGTGGTATTATCGGCTTAGTGAAACGACGTTTACAACCCGCGCGGCTTGATCTTTAGATTACGTCTCAGGGTCCGAAGAGCACCAAAAAGATTTGGCGTGCAGGCTTTTTGTCCTCAGACCCTTTGTGGGGGTTCAGACAGGGAAGTGGCCTGAAATCCTTTGCTGTGCAGGGAAGACCTCTCTGATGAACCGGCTCACCGATGCAGGTGGGAGCCGAACAGTCGGTTTCTTTTGACTTTTCGGAAGGTTAGCGAGTCTGAGTGAAGTGTCTTCCAGTCTGGAAAAGCTACAGGTAACGCCTGAAGAGAAGAGGGCCCAGATGCCGGAAAATAGGCCCAGGAGCCCCGAGCCGCCCATCTACCGACACCAGTGCTGAAGGCTTTTCAAAGCAAACTTCATCAGGATGAGAGTACTGCTGGTAAGGAGCACAGGCCCGAAACTTCGTGACTTAAGGCTTTACTTGTCCTACGGCTTCTGGAATCAGGCATGTGTTCCAAACACTGAGGCGCATTCCCCTGCAAGCTTCTGTGTCTTGTGGGAAGGCCTACGCGAAAGAGACCTCCTGTTCCAGACCCTGGATACCACAATGAGGAGGGTGAAGCTGCCTTCCGGCGGGCAGCTTCAATGCATTGGTGAACCGTCTGCTTGCTGTCAATGTCGCGAGGCGCGAAAGTCTGCAAACGAGGCATGCAATTATTGCTGACAGCATTGGCTTCATCCAGCACTTGCCGCACAATCTCTTTGCGGCCTTCCAGACGACATTGGACGAGATCGTTAGCTGCGATGTTCTACTGAGTCTTGGCTCGCTATGATCTAAATCAGAATGCCCGACCTGCATATTGCTGCATGCACACAGCAAAGCGTCCACAGCGGCATCGTATTGGCCATTGCAACTCCTTTGAAAAGCCGAGGCATGTCAGAGATATTGCACATCCCCAGCGCACCATGCAGCCGCCGGGGCTCGATTTGGGACATGGATTAACTACTTGCCTCATGTTGCTTAGAAACACTGTCGAAACTGAACCGCTGCAGATGCCGAGACCCTCAACATCCCGCAGTCCTCACCCCTCAGTCATCCATGACTCGTTGCCTCAAGGAAGGACATCGTGCTGAAGACGCTGCGTAGCGCTGGAATGCCTGAAAGCAAGCTGCAGTCGTCGGTGATCGAGGCGCGACATCATGGGCATGTCGCCTTGCGGCGGTATCGTGGTGTGCAGATGGAGACGGATGCAGAGGTTTAAGTTTACGTGATACATGGCACATGGGATGTATACACGTGCACACATGCATCACACACATACAATATGTGTGTATATGTATATATAAATATGCGTTATGTATTATATTGTATATGCGCGCGGACACTCACACACACTCTCACACAATCAAGTTCGTGAATTCAATCAATGGCTTCACTAGAATGGGCCCCTCGGGGAAAGAAAAGTGCAAAAGTAGTGCAACATGAACACTGCACAAGTCAGGTTCCCTACGGCACCAACCCCGAAAAGCGTACAGGACAAGCCTGCATCAAGCGGCCTGAGGGGAGCCAGCTGGCGCATTACAGGTCGCCCCTGAACACAGGCTGAGCGGCATTCCTTTCGGCTAGCCAGAAGAGTGCAAAACCCTGACGAATTCGAGATCAGGCAGCAACGCTGGCCATGAACGACCACGAAGCCAGCAACCTACGTACGAGGCAAGAACAAAGCTAACACGCTCCGTACTTCAAAGGTATCTGCACCCGCTCAGACATTCCGGCATGCGCAGGGTCAGCGTATGCACACCCCAGAATGGAGAGCCTTGCAAAGGATGAAGACATCCATCATATCGCGAAATCGTCACATGGGATACTTATCGCCTTCATGCTTTCACTGAATCACGTAGCCAACTTCCAAACCTGAATCTTAGATAGTCAGGGTCATGGTCTTGCCGGTAAGCCGGTAAGTTCTTTCTTGAAGAGCTGCATGCCACGGAAATGTGCCGCACCAGATGTAATTAGCATCGACTACTGAATCGTCGCTCTCACGGTGATGATAGAGATCCTCAACATCTTGGGTGACGGTCTTCTCGGTGAGCGACCTGCATACCAAAGTGCATGCAGTACCATATGGAGCGTCGGTTTCACATTGTCGGTCAGCATCCAGCACGCCACCGCTCTGGCCTCGCACCAGGGAGACGATCGACTCCTGCTGGATGCAATGGTCCGAAATCATGTCTGTCGTGAGACCTCCGCGGGGTGCATGGTCTCGTCTGGCATCTGGGACATACCGCATTCCACGCCGGACGACCATGGCGTGCAGTACTGATAGTACTGAGATACCCGCCCTTGGGTCACTCGGGCCCTATATACACACATATACACTGACACATACACACATACACTGTTACACACACACACAGAGAACCAATTGCCTATGCATACATACATTGACACAAATACATGGATTCGTACATGCATGCATGCATGCGTGCACACATGCGCATCATGTGCATCTTGTGACACATCACACGTCGGGTTTAAGTAGGTTTAGCATTACCGACAGCGAACCCACAGCTGCCTTCCCCGCGAAACGAAACATAATACTGAAGCTATCTGATACTGCTTTTTTCGTGCATCATTCACGCTCAACGTCGGGAGGTCCCCTTTCATGTCTCACTCATATATTATATACACTACTTCCTGAACATCTCTTAGTCTTAGCCAAACTCTTACATGTAACAAGGTGTGGAACAAGATCGACCTATTGAGCTCCATGAGCTACGTGCCTCCGGAAGCCGTGCCCATCTGCGCGGCGGACGGCACGGGGGTGGAGGACCTGCTCCACGTCCTGGATGCTGCTGCTTGGGCCGAAAAGGGATCGGCAGTCGAATCCTTCTGTTCGTTTATCGGATTGTTCGCAGTCGTTGGTTATGGGCATTTTGCACCCATGTCCACGAGCCTTGTTCCGGATTCCCCAGCATGCCGTAGACGAGTGAAGAGGAGGAGGAGGAAAGCGAGGACGGTGAATCGCACTTAGTCAGTTTCCAAACGCTGCAGGATGCGAATCGTCGCATCCTTTGGCTCGCCCCGAGGTTATCGGTGCGCAGCTGGACAAACAGCGGCGAACGGTGAAGTTTCCACAGGAGCTCATGCCACAGGTGCGACCTGCTTGTGTGCCTGACCTCGTCGAGCGCGAGTGCTAAAATATTTTCCTCGATGTCACTGTCTTCCGCATTTGCTTCAGGTGATGGCGTTTCTTCACAAGAATGGCGCTGTGGATCAAGAATCATTGTCCATCGAAGAGGACGGTGACTCAACGACGGCGCAGGTGTGGTACAAGCAGAATTTGCGCATGCAGCCGAAGTCTGTCTGTCCAACTTCAAAGCAGTTACAAAATGGAAGGTGTGCATTGATGCCGTTCTGCCCGCCGTTGGCTGGAAGCGCTGGGAAGCAGAGTGGCGAAATCTTCAACAGACCTGAAAATTTCCATGCCGCCTGCCTTCTTTACTTGTGCATCCTTGCACTAGTCACTATAGTCACTTGTAGACATTGCTAATCAGAGCCTTAACTACCCTTGACCTGAAATCGTAAAGTCCTTCGGGAATTGGAACCAGCTGTTTCGCGAGATTTTTCAGGCCCATCTATTAATAATATGATAGTACAGATGCCTTGCAACAAATTTCTCCTGTGACAGAATTCCGCCTGCGTATCCCATCTAACCTCTCTGTCAGCTTTGATCTCTGCACTGCGAGAGGGAAAAATATGTTAGTATGATCTCCTTCAACTCCTACAGGAAGCGTCCCAGCCAGGCGCGACCTGGACCAGGCTCACGTGAAGACGGCGGGCTATCCGGTGAAGCTCGGACAGCGAAGAGGTTGGGTGTTGGGCTTTGAGGGGTTCTCCAAGGCCATGGATTCAAGCTTTCCGGGCTCTTGGGGTACCCTAAACCCTAAACCGGTGCAAGTGAGGGCTCAGGGGGATACAATCCCTTTCCACGAAGTGGACTTCGCCGACTGCCTGGAGCATCAGGTGGAAAAAGGGGTTCCAACAAAAAACGACACCCAAACCCTAAACCCAGCTTCTGCGGAGCCTTGACGGCTTTGCGAGAGTGAGAGTCGAAACCCATCTTCTTCCCACGAAGCTGGCGAACACCCGAGGCAGCTTGCATCTCTCACCTCGCTCCCCGGACTGCAGCTAGGGCCGCTAGGGCTTTTGAGGGACCTTGGGCGGGTTGGGAGCACAGTGTTATGTCGGATGCATAGCAGTCTAGGGCTTCGGGATCCAATAGAGCTTTAGCATCCCTCCCATCCGAGGTACCTTGATGCCTTGTCTCTGGCCGGGGAGAGCGTGCAGGCTGCTGGGACAGTGGATGCATGCCTGCAGAAACTTCCTTCAACCGTTGTGTGCAAACGACGTCGCTGTCTGCATGTATGATACGTATGCATTTGTTTGTATGTGTGTGTGTGTTGTTTGGTTGGGTGTGCGTGTCGGTGATATATGCATGCGATGCAGTGCTTATATACTTCCAGGCAGGACATGTTTGTACTGTCAAGAACGGGCTGCTCGGTGTGGTTTAGGGCTGAAGGTTCCTTTAAGGGTTCCTGGAAGGCCTCAGTAAGGTTGGGGTTTTGGGTCATGGCACAGTGTAGGCTCAAATAAGTGTTTATGAGATGGTTGGAGGTTGGCATGCTTGGATCGTGATGGTTGATGACTAGTATAGAAGCCTAAATCATTAACAATATTATTCCTCAGACTTCCTTATTATAACTATTATAGTGTATTATAGTATAATGTGGAATATGATAGTTACCCTACCAGCTAGTTTTAATAAGGCAAAACTACGATGATCCCGGAAGCAGAGATTTGTCAGGCTGCAGCCCGGGTGGAGACGGCGCCTCTGTCTCCGTCAGAGTTGCCGCGGTCTGTCGCCCAAGAGCGCCTTTCGGAGGCTGAGATCGACCCTTTGGGGGGTTTCTTATTGCCACAAACATATGGTGCTTTTGGGATTTAAGGGGTTTTAGGGTTTTGGGCTTTGGGATGTTTTGGAGGCGTTTCAGGTTAAAGGGTTGTTATGGATTTATCGGGAAGTTGATCCTACATTTTAGACCCTTAAGTCGTGTCACTTCAAGCGCTGCCTGCGCAGAGCGCCCGAGAGCTTGACAAGTACTGAAGCCTGAATAAATGCTGCTTTGAGGGTTCCTTACTATTTCTTAGAGTGACTAGACTATCAGACTTTTCTATACCCCACAGCCATGTTCCAACCATTAGGCTCCTGTACAAAGTGGATACGGCTCAAGACTCCAAGCTGAGAAGCTCACGACGCGGTGGCGACATTCCGCACGTTGAGTGCGAGATACCGGAGCATCCCCGATGATGTTCTCGGCAGCCGTCGTCCTCATCGGCTTTGTTTCGTGCATATCGGAGGAAAATCGGTGGGAGGTGATGCCACCAGACCATCAGTCATTGCAGCACCTTACGTTCTTGGAGGTTCTGCATGCGGAGCAGGGGTTGGAGCGGGGGGTGGAGCCAAGGACAGACACGACTTTGCGACGGATGCCCAGCCTGGCAAACTTGCCTGTCCAAGGCCCCCGTATAGTTCTGCAGGCTTTGATGAGTTTCGAGCTGCCTGACGCGTTAACATCCAAGTACGAAGATGACGAGACCTTGGGTATAGCGGCACCTTTGGCGTCACTTTCCTGCCTGGCCACCAGGAAAGCCGACAACCAGAATGTGGCTGTAGAGGTCTTCAAGGATGGCAACGACTGGGCGACGCTGGCGACATGCCAATCAGCGGAGTGCAAAGCTCTAGTGAATTTTAAGTGGAACGTGGGAACACCCAGCACGTCCATGAGGCTGATAATCTGCACAACGATGCGTCCGATCACGTGGTCGACGATGACATCACAGACGGCCAATACTGCTTCTAGTCAACCATATTTCATCGAAATGAGCTTGGCCGGCCGCGACGATGGGGGCAAATGGTGGGGGAAGATCCGGGAAGATACTGAAGGAGAACTTTGCTGATGCCATCTGTGTGCAAGACTAGAAGTCTGTATTCAATGGCGTCTAACTCGGCCTTCGGTTGACGGGTGAGGGCAAAACCGATTTCCAGTGGGTTCATGCCGACTTAAAACGTGCGAGTGTGAGAGTCGAAAACCTCAGAATATGGTGATCAACGAGGACACCGGTCAAACGGTCATCTTCGACATGGGCACTTTGATTTGACAAAGGTGGTGGTGCACGAGAAGCAAAAGTGACACCACCCCGATCTTCCGACCCCCCTAGGTTGCACACTTTTCATTGTCTGGAGGGGGGAGTCGTGATTGACATCAGCAGAACCCCTTCTTATATCAGCTCTAGGCCGCGCCCGACAGCGAAGAGCGGCGCTGCCACAAACATACACCTCTTCGCCTAATGTACCTCCACCAACAATGAGCATGACTGCATCGGGAATGCGAATGCATGCTTTTGCCAAGACACTCGCTATGTGCACGGCAAGGAAGTGCGAATGAAAGGACAGGGGCCTCCCACCAAATGCGTGGAAGTCGCATAGAACAAACATGTCGCGACATTGCCGAAGGGTCTCATTCCCGACACAAATCTTGGGCAATCTAATGGCTTGCATCACACCGTCGCAAGGATTGTCTTGCACATCCAAGTCCGCAAGGGTGCGATTAACATGTGTCGTGATCTGCGAGTCGTGTAGGTCGGCCAGGACACGACAAACCGTTTCTCGGACTGTGTGCCCATACAAGTGGTGTCGCAGGAGAACACGCCGTCCGCCTTCAAAGTACAAGCACAACGCGAAAGCACGATGCTCGCGGGGCACGTGATGCAAAGGCCCCCAAACAGCCGCCGAAGGGACAAGGAGCTGGCTAAGTGAGCTTTGGAAGGGAGGATTCATGCCGGGCCCTGTGGTAGTCATGACCTCCCCAAGGTTGAGACGGATCAAGGGCCCATCCACACAAGGCGTCAGCTGGTGACCTATGTAGATCATGCAGTCATCCCAGTCCGAACGCGTGCGCGGATGAATGAAGCTCACCACGTCTCGGTAGCCACACCGTTCGGCAAAACAATGGAAAAATAATCGCCAGGGGCCCGGGTCAGGTCCATCACCACCGGTACATGTCCAAATTCCCCTGGACTGCAAGGAACCGAAGGTTAAACCAAAGCCTGAGCACAGGCGCCGTTTTGTTGCGGAACAATCGCAGCCGCACGCTCAAAGATGCCTCCATAATATAAAGACCCGGCCCAATGCCAAGAACCTGCGCAAGGAGAGCATCAACACCCGCAGTGCGGTCACACCGAGTTGCCCACTGCGCGTGGACTGGAAGTCTGGAGCCATCACAGTGACTCCGAGCCACTCCAAGCCCGCGGGCGGGATGGGATCGTGGGGGCCCACAGCCGGTCGATCCGTAGTCGTCACAGTCCTCGCCGCAAAGCTCGAGAAGAGATCCCGTGTCCCTTCTGGGATCTGTGTTGCCAAGCCACCGCCAAGTGCCCGGCGGAGGATAGCACCGGGAGCCTCCGTCTCTTGCTCTGCTCGCCATGCCTCCGTCATCTCGTCCCAGCCAGATGCATTCACCATCAAAGGGTCGTCGAGGTCCATCTCGTCCTGTCCCTGTGCAAGGGACCGGAGGCCGCGTCCTGTGCCTTCGCTGCAGCCTCTAGGGTGAGATGATTGGGCGCTCTCATGCCCGAGATGTCTCAACTTGAGGATCTACCGCGGAGCTTCAGGCCGTATGAAGCTTTGATTGTTTGTCATGTCGGAGGTGGGAAGTGTAGTCTCAGATTTGCACATGCCCCCTGGGTTGACAGTGTCTGGCGATTGCACAAGTCCAGATGCAAAAAAGGCCCCCTATACAGTACTAGCTAAGAGTTTTGCTGGTCAGGCAGGCGACAAGACAAACAGGCAGGAGGGATCTCCTCCTCCTCAAAAAAGAGATTAACAGAGTTAGGGGTTTAGGCGAAGTGCGAAGCCTGTTGCAAAAGGACTGCAACAAGGACTTACTGGGTGTACAGTTCAGGAAGGTTTACCGGATCGAAGCAAGTTTGATAGGTAGTAGCAGCATCTCCTTATTATAGTCCCTATATATAGATTAATAATTATCCCATGAAATGGCAGGTGTTTTGGGTTCTAGAGCCGTAGGGCACGAGTTGTGAGTTTCGAAATCCCCATGGACCAGGCTTTCGGTGAGGCGGCCTTGCCGGAGCACCTCCAGAGCTCGCCAGGCAGGGCCTTGGGGGGCCCCATATGGGTTGCTAGAAGTTTGGATGATCACTACTTTTTCATAGGGTTCCTATGTGAAGCAAAATGCTGATCTATTTCTTGAGGATCCTAAAGTAAGGCTTCAGTATATGAACCTGCAACCTGGCACCTTCTATGTTCCCAAGAATTCAGCGATCAGTTCAGCATAATGTCTTCCACGTTCCGATTTCTCACGACAGGGCCTGATGCGTGAAACATGTTGAGGATTCTCTTGCTTGTTAGGGTTTGGGGTTTCGAGCCATCGCCGAGACATGCAACTGGGAGGCACTTCAGAAACCTCGCGCAAA